GGTTTAGTGGTTAAGATGATGCACTTCCCCAAGACCAACCAGTTTGAGTCCTAGACAACTGCTTGAAAAATCACATTAAGCATATGTGTGTGCATGCCCAAAAACCTGAGAGGAGAATGGAGGTGAAGGGATTAATTACAGTCTGGGCCATCCTCCCCCCAGGATGTGATATCTCACCTTCTTTATCACTGTCTTTCTCTGTATCTCTTTCCATCCACTGCCTGTTCCCTATGACAAAAACCTTAAAAACAAACAAACAAAAGACAAGAAAGAACACAAAACTATCCCACCTCTGCTCCATTCCAATCTCTGTAGTCTTTATTTGTTAATTTATGGTTACCTTTTTAAAGTTAAATCAAGGATCATTCTTGTTGTATTTTCTTTAAATTACAGGAACATTAAATAATGTTTCTACATAGTAGACATTCAGTAAATATTGATGTAGCAAACCAATGAAATTCCAAGCACCCTTCCCTGGTAGATTTAGCATAGCTATTTCTCCATCAACTCTCATGAGAATATTTCAATTTTCCATTATGTAAACAACGAAATCCAGGAAGCAATCTCTTTTGGAGAAATTCCTAGCCAAATGAGGTAGTATGAAAGAATGTTTCTCTTCAAGGAGTTTTGGGTATTGTTTTTAATTTCAGTAGACACTTTGTAAGTTGTCACTGAGAGAAATGGGTGTATGAGAGTGCTAAAGGAATGCCTCCTATTTGATGAATTTCTGCAGAGAGATAGGTACCAGCAAGCTGTCAGTCGCAGAGGATGAGGGTGAACAGTAGAGCATTCTTTTCTTTTCTTTTCCTTTTTTTTTTTGGAGAGGTTTTTGCTACAGGGTGCGTGCGCTCGTCAGAAAGACAGAGAGAGACAGAAAGAAAGTGAGAAATCACCTCTTAGGGGGGATGGCCACGCCACAATCCCTTCTCCTCCATTCTCCTCTCGGGATCTTGGGAATGCACGCACAAGTGCCTGGCGTGAGTTTAAGCCGCCGAGTCCCAGACTTGAACTGTGGTTGACAACATGGGAGTCCAGCCACATAGCCATCACACTAACTGCTGGTCCCGAGCATTCTGAGTGTAGAAACAGCCATCAGAACCAATCCTCAGTGTAATTTAAATATTAAACCTGAAATTCATTTATTGAAAACCTGCTCTGTGATAGGCACTATGCCAGGTAAATTTGATTTCATGTAATACAGCCTACTGTGAAGCAGGATTCTCATGATATTATTTCTATTGTGTAAGTTTGAAAAAGAATAAAGCACTATAGACAGGTTAAATAAAGATAAAGAGACTTGGTAAGAAGAAAGTGCATAGAATTAACAATGCTTTCCTTTCCAAACTAACAGCTAATCTTTGTAATATTATACCAGATCCAAGTATTCAAAGCAAATCTTGTATTAACATGCTGTGGAAAAAAAAATCATACAAAATAAAAGATGAGTGAATATTTTTTACCTAAAAGTACATTTAGTAAAACATGATGTACTTGGACTCTAATTCATCAGTCTAATCATGTTTTCCTTCCTTTTCAGGCTCAGGTATGTTACACATCTTAAACACACAGACCCTTGATGCTTCTTACTTTAAGGATTATGTAGAACCTGGTGGGCAGGGCATGCATTGAATTGTTTAATAGTTTAAGATGAGAAAGTCTAGAAAGATGAATCAGGGAGGAAGTGAGGTTGCCACAGGAGGGGAATCCACGC